TCATTGACAAATCATGATTTTTTCAAGCGTTGCGTAGCGAAAATCCGGATGGTACCCAGGCTACATATGAACCTGGCTAGCCAGACATTGCACTTTGGAACATCATCTTGTAGTGCCCTGGTTTGTAGATTAACCATAACCGTGGCAAACTACAGGTGTCTCCAATTACCACTCTGCTACTGCTTCTGTTGTAACTCAGTGCACCAAGCCGGGTTAAAAACTTGATGAGACTTTTGTGTGCTTAACTACTTAGTCTTGTACAATCATTGTATCAACAACCAATCCAATTTTTCGGTGGCAAAACTGGAAATATTCTGAATAATATTCATACTACCTAGTACATATGCATCAGTATTTCAAATTTTGGGCATTTGAAACATTCACGGATAGGCCCCAAGATGAGTCCTTTATTTTCTGGGCGGTACCCCCAAAATCCTACTAGTAACCGTTTTCCACCAAAATTTTGTCATTTTTGCTCCATGAATGTCAATATAAACCAGGATAGTGTTTTCAACTACATGTATGTAGATAAGGGACTAGAATATTGACTTCGAAAAATCTGTTTTCATGCCCTAAAAACTGCAATGGACACCTTTAAGAAGCATGTACATGTAGAGCCATAAGTAATACCATAACATGTTTTTGTTGGCACCAGCCGGGCGCGTCCTGCCCCCTCCTCTACTGAACTGTCTGCAGAAGCTGCTGGCAGGCTCCATGGATGGTGTCAGGTAGTAAAAACTGTCCCAGTCTTTGTCATCACCAGTACCCAGACATTTGTCAGTGTCTTGTATTGTAAACAGTTTGCAGGGACTGTACATGTACAGTATTCCAGACTCGTTATTCTTCAGAATTGATATAATTTGCTACAATCAAAAAATTCAGAAACCCATTATAATCTGTAATGCCACTTATGTCTCCGAGTGAAAGGAAATTTTGTGTTTGTTTTTTGGCATTGGTTGGTTAAATCATGTTAAAACAAGGAGAAAGCAAAGAGTCTGTAGAGGCAATGTACACTCCCTACATGACTGTCTGTCTAACAAATTAATGTCGTCTTTGCAGGTGTTCGTTTACAGCTCATGTCTGCACATTGCTCACATGCTCCCCATCTCTTCTTTTTCATCTTCTCGCAAAATATATTGTCTTCTTCTTCTTCTTCAACACAGCTTCTTTCTGATCCTCTGTTTCGTTAACAACACCCCAACCTGAGTGTGTCAGGCCTAATAACTTTCTCCATAACTCCAACGACGTTAACCCTGAACAGTCTTGTATCCCAAGCAGGTCAACACTACGTACTGTGACATCCCAACCACTTTTTCAGTGACCCCCCCTCCTCCAAAACGTGGACCTATGAGTAGTTTTGGGTCACTCTCCACTTATTTTACCTCCATGTTTTGCTCATGTTCATCAGTTGGTGGAGAGCTACCCCCTGCACTACTTGCTACCCTCCAAAAGCTCATCAGTGGCTACACCACAGGGGTTGGGTAGGCATCGCTCTTCTTTGTTGAGTTGCAGCTCTTTTTTTGCAGCAGACCCCATAATTTATCCGTTGCTAGCCATGCTGGTATATGATTGTACTTTTTTTGTGTTTGACGGTTAACCATGTTTGGCAGTCTGCTTTTTTCGTCATGGTGGCGTCTTGTGCAGTTTTCCTGGCTGACATATCTGTCTTGAAGTTTCTAAAATCCATGTTAGAGCTCAATGGACATGTAGATTGGGCTGTTGTTGCAATGTATGTAACTCACGGTACATGTAATTGTTTCGGTTTGTACGCACACTCATGTATTATTAGGTTGTATTTACATACATGTACATGTATTGGTCCTATATAAACTTACAATGTAACACAATGTACATGTACAGTCACTCCTTTTGTGACTGAAAATGTGACAATACCGGTACCACAGTATCTGATGTATCTCCTGTTTTTGCAGTTCATAACCTCATGTCCAAAAAAATGTCCCCTAAGTGCATAATGAGCACAATTTTTTTAAACATAATTTGAAAGCATAATTCTATGAAAATGTCATCCAGGAAAATTTATCAAGGTCAACAGCACGTTTTGGGAGCATGGTTCCAATAAGTTGCATTTGAGTTTTTTTACCATTCTCCTGAGTAGTATAGGCAGTAGTAGACACAGTTAGTGTGGTGATACAGTGGTGTTTAGAATAGACAATGTGTGTCCTGTTTTCTGGTGAAGGTACTCTGTGTTCAATGAAAAACATCCACAGAAGTTGAAGAAGGCCACACCAATTTAATACTAGCACACAAAGGTACCTTGGTTTGCCCACATAATTTTTTTATATTAAAGAGAATAGCCTGATTCAAGATCTAGAAGTAAGTAATTAAATTGGTGTGGCCCAACTGTAGATGTAGTGCATTGTGTAAATTACGAGCTGAAATTACAGTACAAAGTACTGCATGGGGAAGGTGGTCCTCTTACACCAAGCACCAAGCAAGTGTTCAGCAGAAGTATAATTGAAAGATATGAAAGATTTTTTGTCACTTAGAGTTAGTTAGATGGTGTGTTTTTTTAATGTTTTTTTTTATAATCAGAGTATTTTACTGTTGAAAATATCATGTTTTTTATGTTTGTCTTTAATTAGACTTAGTGAGGCTCTTCCATGCACTTTCACTATGTAAGCAATCCTTCTCCTCCCATCTTTTGGAATCCACATAATACCATGGAATGATAGGAAAAAGTTGAACTCTATTCCAACATGAGGGCTACACAGAGATCAAATTTTCAATGACCGCTGTTGCCTTCATCATCGATGAGGATATTTAACGAGCAATCAATTCTGAATGTGATCTCGCGAGAGTTATGGTTACAGACACGTGACCATATTCACACTAGAATTTACAGACTTCAGGAATTGATCAAACGTGCCAGGGAGTGGTCATTGAAAATTTGGTCTCTGTGAACCCTTGTGTTGGAATAAAGTTCAACATTTTACTGTGATTACTACCAACACAGATGAACGTTCATAATAATACCATGGAATGATGCTAACGCTGTTCCCTAACACAATGTGTGGTGCCTCTATCTGCTGTTCTGTTTGCTTGTGGCTCATACTGTTGCTTTGCTGTTCTGCTTGTTGCTGTTTCTGCTGCTCCTTTGTTGATGTTTATGTTTCATGTCTTGAAGATTAAACAACAAACTTATCCCATCCATTTCTTATATAGTGTTGTCAAATTGCCAGCTTGATTGTATTTTAATTTTATGTAAACTTAGATATATTTTTTACATTTGCTTGCTTTGTTTTCTAGTCTGGTGTTCATTCTATCTACATGTATTCTGGATATGATTCGTTCCTTCCTTCACCAAATATTCTGGCACCTGTGAATGGAATCTCAAGTCAGAGAGTTTGATTGGCTCCAGGTCACATACATTGTATAAGGCCTTCAGTAACATCATGGTGGTACTAGTAATATGGATCAAACATTCAAGAATTTGGAAATTTGAGCCCTGTTACTGTATTACACTGTTTATGAGAAATCTTCCACACCCAAAATGATTAATCATCTAAGGGCCAAACAGTCTGAAATACAGTCACTGTGTGTAAATCAGGATTGGTGCCAGACTGTTTAGGGAAGAAGTTACAAGAGGAGAAAACCAGAGCTAGAATATAATGGATACCAGGCTACTACATGTAGTATTTGATTTCTGTTTCACAATGAAAGCTATTGTTGGTGGTGAGCTTGTTGAATCAAATCCCTCCTCTGCTTGTTCAGTACAACTCTCTGTGTATCTTACCCTGACAAACTGCCTTTGTTTGGGTCATTTTCAAATCTTATTCCTTCAAATCAGCTATGTGTACCGATCTGAAAATTGCCTTTTTCATATGATCACAGTTGTTACAAGCTCATGTTACTCATGATCAGCATGAGCTTTTAATGTCTGAAGCTCTTATTCTACAAGAGCTTGACTGGCAAGCTAGGTCATACCAAATTAGTCCGGTTCAATTTGATCGCTACCATGGTGACGTTTCAAAGGACCAATCAGAATTTGGGTTTGCAGCAGAGCCAAACACAGAGTACTGACCACACAGAGGGAGGATGGCTTCATCGCTTGACTTGAAAACACACCAAAATATGTAATCTCCAAGCAAATCATACAGTGGCAAGGCAGTATCCATTGGCCAGAGGAGTGTCCATTAGCCACTGGCCACTGGGGGCTAATGAACCACTCTCCTGGCCAATGGATACTGTCTTGCCACCGTATGATCTGCTTGGAGATACAAAATATGGTATGATTCACCCCCCTTTCACACTTTGGCAATTCAGTCTGAAAATATCATTTACAACAAAAGAAATAATTGGCTTTTAGCTGTAGATGTTTAAAAAAAATACAATACTTTTTCCCAAGAGATTCCTTGTTTAGTAACTAGTTGTGTTTGTCCAGGATCCATGTTGGGAAGTTGGAGGAGTTCATGTCGACGTCCTGTTTCACCAGTCTGGACTTCCTGTACCTGAGCGAGGGCAGTCCAGTGTCTGATGCAGGGGGTAAGTCACTGGGCAGATGCTGTAGTCAGTCTTTTGGACTTGAAAAAATTGTCTTCACTGATTTGCATGTAAATCAATAGTTCATGTTTATAAACCTGTTTTTCTGACAATTCTTTGCTGACGAACGGTAGTGGATGCTACCTGAAATGTCTGATCATTTCCAAAATCATATCCATTTGCTTGAGTAACTGTTTTTTGGTGTATCATATTAACTGGATGTCTAACCTTCACTGGTGTAGTCCGTCATTTGTTTTTGCTGGGACTAGAAAGGAAAAGTTTTTGGTGCTGGTTTAAGTTGGCTGTTCGAGCAATTTTGTAATATAAACACTTCTTAACAAAGTGAAAATTAAATGAAATCCAGACTATTCTTAATTGTCATATTCATCAGCTTTTGATCATGACTTGCTTGTTCCCTACCAGATGAGGTGACAGAGTACCTGGACTCCCTCTTGTCTCCGACCTTCCCCAAACGTAACCTGCTCTCCACACCGCGGCTCGGCGCCAAGAGGTCAACATCCCTCAGCAGAAAGGCCTCCTTCCGCGTCCTGGGTTCGGTCAGACGTTCACGCTCCGTTTTCGTGGACGAGCACAACCTTCCAGGTAGGAGTTTTGCTTCACAAGGTGGTATAATCTTACAAAGATATGTGTAAGTTAACGAAATTCTGTTTAAGTCAGAGTGAAGATCTTAAGATCTTGGTTTAATGTATTATGGATCCATCTGTTTCAAAATCTTTCCATGTTCATTTCATTGTCATGTTCATTAACGTTTGGAGACCACATTGATTCTCCTCTGCATCTCTTTTCCTGTTTTTTCCTTGTGTTTGTAACCACAATATGCATGTAAAATAATGTGTTCACCCCCTTCTTTCCCAATCCTGTTTTATATCCCACTGTTATCCTCTCATTTGTCATTAACTTCTCTTTAAAACTATTTTGTGACAACATTTTTTGTTGTGTTACTTCTGTGTCGTATTCTGTGTTCTTTATTATGTTACAAGATCACTCTGTCCCCCACCCTTTCTGTTGACGTGTTGTCTGCTGTGCTTTTTAGGACTAGTGTTCCTACGTAGAAAACTCAGTGCGTTGGCAGAATCAGAATCAGAGGGAGGATCAGCCGACAAAGGTTTCTTCATTTTGCCAATGAATGTATAGTGACTGTGCATCTACTAGTATGTTCTTTCATGTGAATGGAAAAGATGCCTGTATGTCCCTTACTTGCAAATTTTGTATGAAAGTTTTTTCTGGGGATGACAAAGACCCTTTCTCAAAGTTTCAGTCTGATTGCTGGCATTCCTTGCAATTATCAAACCTAATATCCCTTTTCTTTCATGTTGATTCAAGTATCATTTCTATATCTACATTCTACATTCAAGGTTATACAATGTATGTCAATTTGGGAATTTTGAAATCTCTGATTGGTTATAGGAGTGTACAATTCAATCTGGAGAAGAGTGCTGTATTGCAACATTGCAGACAGCTTCTAGCTATGTACGCATTAGCTCTTCATGCCACGATGCCACTGTAACATGCACAGAAAACGCACTGTGATTGTCAGGAATGTCCTAAGATGCCATATGGAGCACCTGATACTGCAGCAATTTTTTTACAGCCACCACATATACATGTAGCTTTAAGTTACATGTAGTATAACGTCCTGGTACAGACTCGTTCTCAGATTGCGTTGGCTTCCCAATATATGTTGTTAATGACAGTTGGGAAGTAAGCACAAGCCTGAGTTGAATGTGTACATAGTACATGATTATACCAGGCTAGCTACATTCTTAGTACTCTCAAAAGTACTAAATGTTTTGTTGTGTTGTGAATTTGTACCAAGATATAGCAACTGGCATCAACATATCGTTGCTGGGCTCCACCTCCTCTGCCCTAACGCCTGATCTGGCTAGCTTGGTGGACGATAAGGATGAGATCTTTACGGAGGATAACCAAGCCAAAACAGGCATGGACAAAAGCTGCATCGCTTGCTCTGCATATTGTAGCCTTAGTCTGTTGCTTGATGGCCATATACATGTATATATAGCATATGGAAGATTGCTGCATTGTAATATATGGCTTTTAGTACAGTGCTTCTCAGGGTGTGATGAAATACATTTCATTGTAGAAACAATATTGGCTCTGCATGATTGTATGGCTTTTAGCTGCACTTTCATCTGAAAATTAGCCCTGCACACTGCAAATTGTTGGTACAGTATAGCAATTGATACCATACGTACATCAGTAACATTAATTATGACATACTACATTGTATGTATTTGTTGCGCAATGTACAATCATTATGTACAAATGCTGTGTCAAGATCATTTAATTAAGCACTAATACATGAATGTCCAATGGTTTGGAAAATTATTATATAATAGTAGTTTTACTTAGTATGGCTTTACAACATCACCCAGCTTGTATTCCATGTTATCCTCCTGTGCTTCAAGAAAGAATGCTTCAGTGCAAAATCAATTTAGATGGCCTAGTAAATGAAGTGTAGTAAGAAGTGTAGCTGCTGGATGCAGATTTTCAAATTCTTTTTTTTTTTTGTATTTTAGCTGTGCTGTTTACTGTGTGAATTACATATTCTTCAATATCATTTTTTTTAATTTTCCTGATAATTTGTCAGATGCATTCTTTACAAGTACATCAGATAGATATATAATTATAATGTAGTAAAGCCTGATCTTTAGTTGAAAAAGAAATTCAGTAGCTGCAACTTTGCCTATCGTAGTGATCAGAAGACAATTAGTAATGTTTTTGCTGTTGTATCATTTTCAATTGTATTCTTTTCTTCCAGGTATCTCCCCTGCAATGTATGCTAGTCTTCTTGGTAACTGTCCTGCTCTGCTTTCTGCCTGTTTGATTTGTGTTAATTTCCATGTGTACTAACCACCCTGAGATGCCACTTGTCACTGATGTTCTTTCCTGTATAATACAGAATGCATTGTTGTAACTCTTATGATCATTTCAAAACTAATCATTTGCATGCTGATTTCAGCAATACCTTAATTTTAGGTTTACCATCATAATGACAGTCATTACTCCAGAAATTAAGCCAATACTTTTCAGGTGCTTTCATGAAGTAGGTGTACACATACATGTACAATGTACATGTATAAAATCTTGTTAATCATCCAAAGAGTCTTTAAAATCTACATGATTGTACAAAATGTACATTGTACATCAAGTTCTGAAAGCTACTTGAAAGCCACTTTATACAAATGTGAGGGCTTCCATAGCTTTGTTGTGTTAACTAACACATTACCCATCATAAAAGTGCTCCAAAAGTATTGGCTTTATAGCTACTATGCTTCATATGATTAGCGATCAGTGTTTTTGTACTGACATCAAAAGCATCACTCAATCATGGCTTCAATGTCGACCCTGCAAAACCTTTCTTCCAAGCAGGATTCTAGTCAGCACCCATCATTTAACAAAAACTCAAGACTGACAAAAATCTGGCCATGAAACAGGCAACTTTTGCATGTTTTGCATGGTCTGGTATCAGAAGAAGTTAGAATTAGGTCAAATTGTTTCAGAGTGTAACCTTGGGTTTGCATCATACATTAGGGAATAGAGATGACAGAAAAAACACACCTGGCTAGAACCCTGCTCCTAAGAAACTCTTTGGTATAAAGGTACAAAATGTACTTTATTTCTTTATATACTTCTCCATTTACAAAATGGAGGGAGAGGCAAAATACATTGTAGGTGATTCTGCAATGTAATCTGAATGTTTGTCTGCAGATGTTAAGGGAGACCACATACCGGACATCAGGCACTCCCCTAGCATGAGTAAGCTGCGTGAAGGGTCAGGGGACATCGACTGTGCAGAGCTGGTGGAGCATCTGAAGGACACGTGGTCGCTCCAGGAGCAGGCTGATGTGCTGCACTACCTGTATAACACACAGTAAGTGTATCGCTGTGGGGTGATCTGGTTTATCTGAGAGTACAGCCTACAGGTATAAGAAATGTTAAGATGTTAATTTTAACCTTTTGTTCCAACACAAAGGATTGTTCTCACCTAGAGCTTTCAACCTGTCACTCTGATCTTCAATAGACTGACACAGTGAGGCTTGTCTAAAGTGTGAGGTCAACATTTGGTCAAAGATATCTGGTAAATGATGTTGGCCCCCACCTTGCCCCCTATGCATGTGAAAGAACCCAACACTTGTATTTATCAAGAAGAGTAGAGGTGTTCCAGTGTGCTTGGCACTGGCTGAAAATGTTAGAAACAGCATTTTAACATTTCATCTCAAGCATATTATACATGAATTCTACCTTCTTCTACCTTTTCCAGGGGTCCAGACTGGGACACCAAGATCAACATGAGAGAGGGTATCACGGTGGTGATGCTGGTAGGGGAGCTGTATGAGAAGGCAGGGCAGCTCAAGCAGTGGTCCATCGTACGGCACATGGCCGGCATGCTGAGGAAAAGGGTGGAGGACTTGGCACAGGTCAGCTCACACAGATCAGACTAAGGGCGATCTTTAAAATTATCGATTTAACAATTGTTTAGCCTGGAATCCATCCATGAACGCTCTGTCTCTGCTCCGTTCCTCCGTTTCTGTGAAGGCAGAGTGGAACAACGGAGCGAAGACAAAGTGTTCACGGATGGATTCCAGGCTAATAATCGTTGTCTCTGCTGATAGCTTAATGCTAACCATTTGCTGTTTCTAGCATTACCTTATATCAGTTTTTCAAAAGTTTTACAATTCTTGATTTTTTTTTTGCTTCGCATCATTCTCTTACAAATAGAATATTTTTATAAGTAAGTGACTGTGGTTAGTGACAACATTTTGAATTGTACAATGTGTGAGTACTGTACCACACAATTCAGCCATGAGGCCGCAAGGTTTATGAGGTAAACCATTCATTCATGCCTTTATTCATCTACTTGAATTCTGAATCACATGTCAACTTGAAGTTTCTTTCCATCATTCATCTACTATCAGTAGCCTGAGAGACTGATCCTTTAGTTGCAAATCAAATTAAAGATTTTTCAAATTGACAATCAAGACAAAATGAAATAGAAATTTGTCCTGTTCTTGTGTGAAAAACGTCTGTTATGAGTTTGTGCTGTGACTCAGTTGCTGTGCTGTTTTATGTGTGCTGCTATGTAGAATATGAAACAGTTGTGGCGAGCTAACTTTGTATGCTCCACCTCTACTATGGAGGATGAATGATGATGATGATGTAGAATGATTTTTTGCTTGATAACGTTGTGATTTTTTGGCCAATACAATCACAACAGTACTGCCCTTGCATTGATTTGACTACAGAATTCAATACGCAATTTAGTGCAACCCCTATAAAGTAAAGTCTTTCACAAGTATACCTGCATCCCCCTCACACACCCCACACCCCCAGGCGATAACAGATTTGCTGGTGAGACAGAGACAGCTGACCGTAGGAATGCCGCAGTTGGAAAACCCCATGTTCTCCCCCAGGAGGCACTCTGTCGTTGGCGTGCCGTGGGAGTTCCACACTCAGGGCTTTTTGGTGAACTTTTTTTTTCTTTTGGTCCTTTTTTTCCCCATTAACTTTGGACATGAACCTCGTGTGCTTGTGCTGTTTTTCCTCCTGTCTGTGAGTGACTTAGTTTGTGCATCTCCTCCTCCCAATGATGTTGGAATTGGACATTACATCTGCTAGCAGTGTGATGATAGATTATCAGCAGTCCCTTCTGTGAGACAGACTACAAATCAGAATTTTTAGCCTGACCAAATTAATTGTGCTCCTGGTGGCTGGCCTGCCCGACAGATGCCACCCCTTGTGGTGGGGTCATTAGCCCATGGCAGCAAGAGCTTTCTGTAAACACAGCCTACTTTCAGCATAATCAGTAAAACTTTTTCAAGACAATGTGTCAGATGCAAAAATGTTGGAGAAATTGTACATGTAGATGTCTATTCTGAGACTCACCTCTATCACTCAACATCCCACAACCAGAAATGGGGATTTCACAAAGTAACAAGAAAGTATACATGAAGCTAAAATTGGATGATGACTATTGCTGAGATGGATAGGTGCAAACATGCCTATAAAGGCTAATGCTGGGTATTTAATTTCTTCTTGCATGATTCACTCACTCACTCATTCAATCACCATTCATTCATTCAGTCAATCATTTATCCGATCATTCTTTTATTAACAACTGAAACACAAATAAAGCCCTAGGAATGAAAAATACAAACATAAAGGTTTGACAGCCCAAAGAGTTTACATCTCAATATAGATGACCATACTAGTCTTTTTTTATACACAGACCCCACATGTCCATTTTATGTCTGTTCTCATGTGTGATTCTTTCTCTCTCTTATGTATTTGGTATAGTTTGATGATAAACAGTTTTCAGTGGTGCTTTACAATAGATTACATGCAGTGCCATTTGTTGTGTGATTTTACAGATAGTGCTGTGAAACTTGTGTGTACTTCTTCCTACTTCCACCTTTTATCTTTGTGTTCAATATACATTCCCATTGTACATATACACTATATCTGATGTACAAATGTATGTCTTTTGTAAACTATTATCATGGTATCAGTTGTTTTCAATTAGTATCCATTATATATTTGGCTACCAATTCTATATTAGGTAGGTACAAAATTTAGAAGGGAGAACACTTTGATTACATGCCTTATTGTTATACCATATCATGAGTCATAATTGCAAAAGTTAATGGATTAAAACAGAGCTAGTCCTTTTCATCAATTTTCTACAGACCAGTAGTTTTCAACTTTCTCAGGAAATGACACTGTCAGGAAAATGTAGATCATGAAGGAGGTTGTGGTTTGTAAACTGCCTGGCCTGGGTCCGGCATACACAGTCTTATTGTTATACTTAGATGTATAAAAGCCCATGTATGATTCACTCATTCAATCATTCATTCAATCATTCATTTGACAATCATTTTTTCAACCTTTCTTTCATCAATTTACAAATTAAACTGAATAACACAACTGAGCCAAAACCATAAATATTGATTCTTGATCTATTTATTTCTTACAGACACTTTGTGTCCACATGTCATGTGTTAGAGTTACCAAATATTACGTATGCCATTCTCTGTACGTGGAAGAGGTAGTAGAAGTCTTAGAATGATTCAACTTTGAAAACTGATTTTTTAGTTAATAACATCCATAAAAGACATCAGTACAATCTGAAAGTCCAGTAAGTTCTACAAGCTTGCACTTGTGGATCTTTATAGAAATGACAAGTTGTACAAAATGTAAGCTAACTGGTAATCTGATGTAGGACAATTGTTGGATTGCACAGTACATGAACATCTTCAGTTTGTACTAATCCTTTGAAATTGTACGGGTTAAATATAACAGTCTTTATTGACACATCAAAGCACAGCAGCTTTCTTAAGGTCTACTACAACTGTACAATACACGTCATACAAACAAGTAGATACAAATTAAAACTGAAGCTGCAATCTTTAGCTTAAGTGCACTCAATGTTGATATGTACAAAATGTACTGTAAACACTTCATTATAAGAGAAGTATTCACCTATTACATAGTATTAGACACCTATCTCAACATGATAGTGTACAAGTAACTGTTATTAATATATATGTCATGAAGTGAAAAATTACGGTGACACCTCAGGACTAATGGCATATGCAAATGATGTGATTTAGTGGGTTATCTGTAGATTTGACCTTATTTCTCCCCTCCCACAGGCTGCCACGGACCTGTTAGTACGACAGAAGCAGTTGTCCGTCGGCCTGCCCCCCCAGCCCCAGGGGAGAGGACCATCACACACCCCCTCCCCCAGAGGAACTGGCCAAGATGATCTACGACTCCTGTGGGGAAGACAGCAGCACTGCTGTGCTTACACAGGCAAGATCCTTGTAGGGATAGATTCCATTGGATGGATCATGCAGAGAATCCTATGTGTTAGCTGCAAGGTCTATCTTACTATGAATCTTGTATTATATGTTCAATATTTGATTTAATTTGTTTTACCAACGGATGACTTTTTTCATGGGTATAAACCTGCTGTGCCATTTTCAAGGCTTGTTGGAGGAGACTGATTGCCTTCCTGTGATCACCCAGCTGGTACCAGGCTGACCCCAGGTTGTTAAGTGAGGCGGCAACGTCAGGATGTGGTGTACTCTGACCATAGATACTCCTGGTCATCTGTAGTCCCTGTTCATAGTAGCTGATTGCCTTCCTGTGATCACCCAGCTGGCACCAGGCTCCCCCAGGTTGTTAAGTGAGGTGGCAATGTGAGGATGTGGTGTACTCTGACCATAGATACTCCTGTACATCTGCAGTGCTTGTTCATAGTAGCTGATTGCCTTCCTGTGATCACCTAGCTGGTACCAAGCTCCCCCAAGGTTGTTAAGTGTTCTGGCATTGTCAGGATGTGGTGTACTCTGCCCATAGATACTGCTACTCATCTGCAGTGCTTGTTCATAGTAGCTGATTGCTTTCCTGTGATCACCCAGCTGGCACCAGGCTCCCCCAGGTTGTTAAGTGAGGTGGCAATGTGAGGATGTGGTGTACTCTGACCATAGGTACTCCTGCTCATCTGAAGTGCCTGTTCATAGTAGCTGATTGCTTTCCTGTGATCACCCAGCTGGTGCCAGGCTGACCCCAGGTTGTTAAGTGTTCTGGCAATGTCAGGATGTGGTGTATCTGACCATAGATACTCCTCCTCATCTGCAGTGCTTGTTCAGAGTAGCTGATTGCTTTCCTGTGATCACCTAGCTGGTACCAGGCTCCCCCCAGGTTGTTAAGTGTTCTGGCAATGTCAGGATGTGGTGTACTCTGACCATAGATACTCCTGTACATCTGCAGTGCTTGTTCATAGTAGTTGATTGCTTTCCTGTGATCACCCAGCTGGCACCAGGCTCCCCCCAGGTTGTTAAGTGAGGTGGCAATGTGAGGATGTGGTGTACTCTGACCATAGATACTCCTCGTCATCTGCAGTGCTTGTTCATAGTAGCTGATTGCTTTCCTGTGATCACCCAGCTGGTACCATGCTAACCCCAGGTTGTTAAGTGTTCTGGCAATGTCAGGATGTGGTGTTCTATGCCCATAGATACTGCTACTCATCTGCAGTGCTTGTTCAGAGTAGCTGATTGCTTTCCTGTGATCACCCAGCAGGTACCAGGCTCCCCCCAGGTTGTTAAGTGAGGTGGCAATGTCAGGATGTGGTGTACTCTGACCATAGATACGCTTGTTCATCTGCAGTGCTTGTTCATGGTAACTGATTGCTTTTTGGTTATCGCCTACCCAGAGGCAAGCATCTCCTACTCTGATGAGCAAGTCTATTTTGTTAGCACCTGTAGAATCCTTCAGGGCCTCATGATAGCAGCTGATAGCCTGTCTATATCTGCATACCTCGGAGAACATTATTCCACGCACTTTGGGAGAATCATCATATAATTCAGGGAAGGAATTGAGGATTGTTCTCTTTCCAGACCACTTGGACAAACCACTCTTGAGAGGGACTGCTGTATAATAGTATCTGTAAAGCGGATTTTCATTTGGCATATGGAAAACTGGATTCAATACTTCTGTTTGTACTCCATCATTGTTCTGTTCCTTTAGTGCTGTTTCCATTGAAGCCAAAGCTGACAAGTTTTCCTTCTGTCCACCATTTGCAATGTATGTTCTGAGCCTGAGTTCTGCTGAGATGCTGGTAAGCACTGTCAGGTGGTGTGCATTGTTGGCACTGATGACTTGTTGTCTTTCAAGGTCTTCTATTGTCTTCCAAACTGTGGTAGGTATGATGCCTGAAGACAGCGCCATGCAGTCCACTGTTACAGCAGGAAATCGATAGAGTTCTTTCTTCACATCAATCAGCCTTGCTGTAATTGTTCTTTGATCATTGTAGCTTTCACTGTTTTCCCTCAGTGTCTCCTGTGCCAGTTGTTGAGCCATTTTACCTCCATCAGCTTGCAGTAACTTCACTGTGATGGCCATGTATGTGTCAATCAAATCCTGGTCCCCTGCTATCAGGCATGGATTTCGTAAGATAGTGGCAAGGTGATAGCCTTCCTTCAGGTATAATGTGACATCCTTTTGTAGAATCGAAACCATGTTCTCTGGGGTACAGATGAGTTCACTGGGGGGTTTGTTAATAGTCCCTTGCCTGCCCAGTGGAGTCTTGCTTGCCTTTGGCATGGAGCCATCAAAGGCAAACCCACGTGGTGTAACAGAGTCATAGAACCAGTTGTCCAATTGATCACCAGAGTAAAAGTCATTGATAGACTTTATCCCCACTGCTGGGAGAATGGTTTCTCCCAGGTTGACCACCTTGAGATGTAGGTAGTGGGTGAGGTTGTGGAAAAACACAAGGCATCCTTCACTTTCTTCCTCTACCAAGATGGCAAACTCCAGGTCTGAGTATGGAGTTACCAATGCTGTGGCCTGTGAACCCAACCCTATCAGGGCATACTTACACGGAGGGGGACCCATTAACCCAATACACTCTTCAACAAGAAGGCTGATGAACTTGTTCCTTAGCTGTGCAATTTTCTCAAACAACTGCCTGACAGCCTGAGCTCGTTTTGCCTCTATCTCTTTGACACTTGGGTCATCGTCATCATGTATATAGGGATTCAGCTGCTGGTCAATGGTTTCCATCTCCAGCTTGATCTGGTCTCGCATCTCCTTCAGCTGTTTCTTGTGTTTCTTTATGTCATCTGAGCTCATATCACAATGAATGTCTAAGATACATTTTAGAAATGACTTTTCTACTTCTTTGGCCTTTGTTATAATGTTATTGGTGAAGATATAATTTTTTGACCTTGCCATGGCTGCATTGTAGAGTGCAGCTGCTTTGACAAAGTCTCCCCCGTCTCCTGTCTGCTGACCTCGCTTAGTGTAGACATCCCCCAACTTGCACAGGGGCTCCACCTCTCTATGGTACTGCTGGGCTGTGGGATCTGGAAACAAACATTTTACCCAATGTTGGATGTTTTATTAATTACATGTCATCTAATTCTTTTAGTACCCAGACATGCATGTAATCATGAACCTTACATAATACATTACAAGCATTTACAATTATATTATAAATGAATAATTATGTTGAGCATCTTATCTTACTGGTTACTACATGTAGTTCCTCTAGCTATCTATAGTTTTATATTAAAAGAATCCTCTTCCAAATGTTTATTGTATCTTACAATACATGCCTTACCTCTCACATGTACCGTCTTGAGTGCAGCTGCAAAGTGCTGCTCTGCTGAGTCCAGGTCTGAGATTGCAAGAGATGATTCACCTTTCTTGAGGTGCTCCTTTTGCAGTCTTGAAATAAAAGACAGATGTGTTATATTGTACATTAATTTTGTAATTGTGAATTGGTCAAGCAATGCCCTTCTGAACATGACACACCTACCATTTTGAAATCAGGGCACAATATAAATTGTGTACTTCAGAGTAGTTTTTACTTCTGGATCCATAGAATATGTTTCCTTTGTGTCTATCATATTAGTCATGCAAACAGGACACTGTACAATGTAGATCATACTCACCTGTCTGTGTCTTCTTCTCCAGTATTTCCAATTGGAACACTGGCCATTCCTCTTTCTTTTGCTTTGCTGCATTAAAGAATACATGTTATCATACTTGTCACATGAAAGTAGTTTTGAAAGTAACATTAAACAGTTACAAACTTACGTTAGAATTTATATGTTTCAACTCTTTGAAGCTCACACATAACTTGGTTTGCCCACCTTGGCATCCCTTGATGTAGATGTTGTTTGTGACCAACATCAGGTCTTGTGATGTTTCCCAACTGGTGGGCCATGTGTGATTTTTTCTCCCTTGGTCTTGACTTTTTAGGTGACAGCTTCTGCATGATGATAATGATTTTTTGACATTGTTTACTCTTTCCTTATGATCTATATGATATCATAAAATAATGATAAAAATGGCTTAATGATGAAAATACATTAGAAATATTGGTCAGAATGTCATCTACATGTATAATATCAAATAAAACTACATGTACAATGTACCTACCTGTGTTGCAAATTCCTTGATCTTCTCCATGTATGAAATCCGATGATGCAGGGTCTGTTGTGTCTCAGGATCCCCGCATCTTGTCAGAGCTTTCTTGTACATAGCGTGTGCTTTAGAGAACTGCGATATATCAGAGGTTTTCTTGCCTTCCTTGAGGTAGAAATCTCCAAGTGATTTCAGAACCTCAAGCTCCAGGAACATATCACTGTTCCCAATTGCAGTCACTAACATTTCTGTGTAAGTCTGTTCATAGCAGTTTTTGGCACCTCTGTCCATTTTGTGACAAATCTGTGCCACCCTTAAGACATTATTGTCAGCCTTACCCCAGTAGTCTTCTGACAACCGTGAACTGTACCCCTGCAGCAGTTGTCTGGAGAGTTTCTCCACGTAGCCTATGCGATGATCTAGCGTCTCTCGCATGTCTGGATCTATGCAGCGTAGTAGGGCAGCAGCATACAGGGCAACAGCCTTTTCAAACTCTACCAAATCTTTATTGAGCTTGCCTTTCTGAAGATTCAGGTCTCCAAGCCTTTTCAGGACTTCTGCCTCCATAAAGCCATCTGTTCTAATGATGGCTTCTCTCAGTGCCTGTGCATAACTGACTTCTTGGCTACGATGACTTTTGAGGGACAAGTCCAAGTTCTGTAGCTTCTTAACCAGGCTGGTCATCTTGACTTCAGACATTGTCATTGTTTTCATTCCAACTGGCAACCTTTTAAAAAGGACATACAGTAGGGCAGATTAATGTACATGACTGTATATTATTGTAATAGTAATAAAAAAATGATGGTTTTAGCTACAGGTTTGTTAGCAGTAATTATATCTTATAGACTTTCTGTCAAGGTGGATTAAAACAGGCCTCCCGGATACCAAAGCCCTCCCCAAAAGGCCCAAGTTTGAGGAACTAGTCCTGATAAATTACTTTTTGCTAGCATAAAACATAGAGTCCAAAGTACATTGTAAATGTAAAAGCTTTTCTCTCTTGTAAATGCTTACATGTATAACCTGAAATATGACGGTTGTATAAAGCACACAATGCAAGAGAGTCGCACACATAGGACTGTCAGTACCATTGTAAACCTGTTCCTGACCAATATATCTAAGTCTATTAAACCCAACACCTGTAGCTAGGATGAGCAGACTTGTCTAAATCTCACCTGGATGTGTGAGACTCCACAGCTGTGAGCCTGCCTGGGTGGTAGAGTTTTGTCTGTTTCCGTCTGTGTCAGCAAAACGTTTGCATTTCCCGTCTGACTCAGGTGGGATTTTTTACTGCGCCACAACCGGGACTTTCCACTGAGTCATGCTTATGTCAGCTGTCTTTGTTTAATGATTTAGTAACTTATTAACTTATGTCACACCTTTAATCATTTGGGTACAGGCTCCTATCTAGGCAGGTATTTACAATGTAGCAGGGACAAATAAAGGGCAAACATATTAAGCTAAACAAGTCTGTGAAATTTTTTTGAAACATGGAACACAAAATTTAGAAAACAAGGTAATAGTTTTTATATTAAATTGGTGAAAGCTGGGAGAGGTTTGTGTTGTGATAACTACTACATGTACATATGCTACTATTATATAGAGTACTAACATAATTTTGTAAGTTGGTATTTTACTTAAGAACACGAAGAGGGGGGGTCAAACAAGCCTCCATGGCTTTTTTACTAACCCTGCACATTTATTTTTTCCACTGTTCCAATGTTTCTGAAGTTTGGTTTTATTGTTGTTATGTGTTGTGCGAAGAGATAAACATATGAATAATAAGGGGTGAACCATGTCAAAATCAGTACTGTGTGATGTTTCCTTACTTGAAATGAATTATATTTTGTTGTTGTTTCTTCTGATGTTTAGGAGATCCTTGTATACCTGGCCATGTTCATCCGCACGGAGCCTAACCTGTTCCGAGAGATGCTGCGTCTGCGCGTGGGGCTGATCATCCAGGTCATGGTGTCAGAACTGGCCAGAACACTCAACTGTACAGGTGGGACACATGTAACGTTACCTGGTCTGGTTATGTGGGGTTTAATGTAGATTCAATCATGGGAACGTCACACAAACTTTGACCATGTATGGATGGCATCATCAAACCGAAAAGTTCCAACCCAGTGTTAGTCTTAGAGCGGAACCAGAAGAAAATCCAAAATTGCCTTCACCCAGTAGTGTCACTCGCACTATCCACAGCAAAAAAAAAAGAAAAAAAAGAATGGTCTGCTTGCAATGAGAAGCTTGAGGACAAGTTCTAATGTGTCCGAAAACACTTTCAACTAATATCTATAATAATAATTTATATGTTTATAAAAACTTGAAGGCATTGACTTGAAAATCAGCAAAATTAAAGCATACACAGATGGCATACAAATTAAAGTCAAGTTTGTGTGACCTTAAGTTTTGTTAAATGTGATGTATTAAATATTTCAATCTGTGGGTAGTCTTTAACATACAAAGTTATTCTGTTATATTTTATGTATTTTCCTGGTCAAAATGTGATATCCCTAAGCTAAGGCTACTATATAGTCTTCCCCCTTCTTTGATATGTGTAACTCTGTGCTGTCGGCTCACCACTTGAATGTTTTCCGATTTGAAACCCCCATCACCTCCCTGGGAAGACAATTTAACGTCGCGAGAGGCCACCACCCCTGAAGTCATGGCCGTGCGACAGATTTGGGGCCACGAGGCAAACTTGCGGGAGGTCACCAGAAGTGAGGCCTTTCACCACTGATTGGTCAATCAGTGGTCGCACAGTGCTCGTTTTCCTGCTGTAGAGTACATGTACATCGTAGCTGTCCCCTCTATCTCAGTCCTTCTGTAGTTCACTTCCTGCTGTCAAGACCTCTCACTTGTGTCATGCCTATACATAATGATCATTGGCAAGTAGAGGGTACTATAATTGTAGCTGCCCCCTTTTTCTCAGCCCATCTGTAGTTCACTTCCAGCTATGTCAAAACCTGTGTCATGCCTACATTATGATCAAGTAAATAATTGTAGCTGTCTCCTCTTTCTCAGCCCTTCTGTAGTTCACTCCCTGCTCTGTCAAGACTTGTCACTAATTATGTCATGCTGACATTATGATCAAGTAGAGGGTACTATTGTAACTGTCTCCTCTTTCTCAGTCCTTCTGTAGTTCCCTTCCTGCTCTGTCAAACTTGTCACTAAATGTGTTATACTGACATTTTGATCAAGTAGAGGGTACTGTTAATAATTATAGCTGTTCCCTCTTTCTCAGTCCTTCTATAGTTCACTCCCTGCTCTGTCAAGACTTGTCACTTGTGTCATGCCTACAGTATGATCAAGTAGAGGGTATTACTATAAATGATAACCTTGCAAGGTTGCAAGGTTATACATAATACATAATACTGGAGACTGTAGCTTTTTTTAAATGCCATCGCGTGAATCCACAGTTTCCAGATAGCAGATTCCAGATAAGAACCTACATGTACATGTAGGTCCAGTCATGTAATATGGGTGGCGTGAATGGTTAGTTTGCTACACTTTGCAGATCTTCAACACTTACTTTCCATGCATCATTCTGTCAAATACTTGCTCATAATTTCCTGCTCTAAGAATCTGACATAAATGAATCTACTATCTTAACGCTCTACTATCCCAAACACCAGACCATACACAGCGTCATGCACGTCTGCTCTGCTTGTCTAACTTCTCCTTAGGTGTATTCCTAGCCTGGTTACCAAACCTATTAAAGCTCCTTAGAGTCCTACATCCTCTCCGCAAATAGTTTCCAGAGAGGATGTAGGACTCAGGAGCTATGATAGGTCTACAAATGTAGCAACTTGGTTACCAGATGTAGGACTCGGGAGCTACATAAGATTATAATAGGTCTGGTAACCAAGTTATTACTAGACCTATCATAGCTCCCGAGTCCTACATCCTCTCCACAAATAGTTTCCAGACAGGATGTACATGTAGGACTTGGGAGCTATAATACATGTAGGCCTGGTAACCAGGCTAGTGTAGTCCATATTTGTGCCGGTGAGGGTGTACTGAGTTCACGTCCCCCCCATGCAGGTGAAGAGGCGTCGGAACACCTGATGAGCCTGAGCCCGTTTGACCTGAAGACCCTTCTTCACCACATCCTGAGCGGGAAGGAGTTTGGAGTTGGGGAAGGTAAGATAGACTAGGGGTGGGACTAAGGCTAATAGCCTGGAGTCTGTTGATCACTATTCTAGCTCTGGTTCACTCAAACATTCACTTCCACCCAGAATAGTCTGGCCCCCATCTCCATTCAGATGTTTGGTTCTTTCTTCCTGCATTGTGTCAGAACTTAAATATTTCTCAGAGCCAGTGTAATGGGGTTCAAAGTTCTGAATGTCTCTTTGAACCCTTTTTAATACCAAGGATTGCACTGTGTGACTAAAAAGACCCTTGACAATGTGATATAAAATAGATTTTTCTATTCCAGTTGTGTTAATGTACTGCTTCAGAAATGTCTTTGAGATGTACACAATGTATAAATAATGCTTGTAAATGGCCCCAAATGGCAATGGTTTCTAGGTTTCAAACTTAATATAATTACCTTAAAGCTAATGCTTGATTAAAAAATGAATTAAAGCACATTCATGATCACACACACATAAAAAGGGCCCAAATGCCAATGGCAATAGCTTTTAGTTTTAAACTAATAAGCTAATGCTTGCACATTCACACACACACACACATAACAGCTGTAGATAAGACTGACATGTGCTGCTTTAAAACAGAACAGGAAGCCGCAGACTGGGCCATGCGAATCAGGAAGCTGACAATTTCACAATACCTCATGACACACGCTGCAGGCAGGTCCGCTGTCCCTCATGTTGGGTGGAGGGAGCTGCTTCAGACACTATACAGTCATGTAGCTTGTATCTAGCCTCCTGTGCAGGCTTCCAGGTGGATCAGAGTTTTGATACTGCGTCAAGTTTTGTCCTAATAGCTTCAGTTTCATGGTGGGTGGGTTTTTAGAATTTTTACCGCATTCTTTTGCCAGCCACGGGTACAAACTTTCTCTGAGCAGCTGGTTGTAGGATGGCTGTTAAACGCAATATCAAAACTCCCACCCACCCGGAGGCCTGCACAGGAGGCTAGCTTGTAGCATCCCATAGGGTGAACCGTAACTCAGAACATATTGGTGACCTCCTGCATGGGTCCTTTTGCATCTTTGTCCATCCTATGGTGACAACCTTTGAATTCTAGGGTGCTGGAGTGCATTAACAAGTCATAATGTACATGTATGTAGGCTTTGGTTGTTATTAATTGCTCATTCTACCCATAAACCCAGAAGTGTTGCTGAAACCATTTTTTACTTGCTCATCTCCCCCAGTATCAGTTAAACCTTTAGGAGGACAAAGTGCCAAAGAACCCGTGTACCCAAGAAACACAAGCTTGATTTTTAGGATGACATCCATACAAAATGTACATGCATTGATTTTGAACTAAAATATGGGCAATTTTGTGCCTTTTAAAAGATGGGTAGTGATACACATCAATGATTGCATCCTGCATGGTAACAATTTGCCTCAATAACTGTTTAAAGTTAAAACTTTCGATCCAACACAAAAAAGTTCTCTCACCTACTATTATAGAGCTTACGACCAGTCCCTCTGGTCTTCCTCAGTAGACTGACCCAGTGAGGCCTCAATATTAATTGCAATTTTGGGTTTCCAAAGGATGTCATCCATTAAATTCAAGTTTGTGGTCCTTATTACAGACATTATGTAACATCAAAGCACAAGCCTTAGAAACACCAAAATCTTTCCCATCAGATACATGTAGCTGCAGTGAATGCTACATGTAGGTCTACTGTTATGGTACTGTATTGACACACCATTGTTTGATGTCCCATGTGCACTATATAGTTGAGAGAGGAGGAGGGAAGTCTCTGTCCATCAGGAAGATGGAGAAGGAAGAGGTCACTGGGATGTCACGACTTCGCAAACAAGTCACGGTGAGGGGACAGATCAGTCTTGTACATTTTGGCGAATCCTCGGCACTGCAGCCCATTTTGGTACATGTATATTGGGCTTGAAATCAGACTAAAAGTTGGCACGTATGCTAAAATACTACATGTTGTAGATAAGACTATCAACTTGCCTGTTCACTGATTTATTACAATATATAGTACAAATATAGTACAAATGTACAATGTAAGGTAAGGGAAAAGGTGGGGCGATACATGTATATTTGTAAGCTTAATTTGTTTGCAAAAATATAGAAATCACTTAGTAAAGTTTTTAAAGTACAACGTAATATCCTAGATTGAAACATTCAATTTTCATCACTCTTGCAAAAGTTTTTTTAAAGTCACTGTTACATACATTGCATGACATTGTATACATTATCACAAGCACACTCTTTCTTATGTGGTTTTCCTCTACATAAGGTGACAATCTGCCCTGAATATTATGTGGGGTATAAACTGGGCACATTGCAAATATCTGCTGTGTAATAAGGCCTGTGACAAAGCTTTAGACATAGCATTACAAATATTATCTCTGTGCATGAGGCCCAGGGCTTAAGCTAGTACAGTGACATTCAAGCTGCTAGAAGTCTTTTTAAGGTCTGCTTTTGTTGTTAATGTGTAATGGCATATAGTACTTGCTGCAGTGCTGTATAGTGTGGTGACTCTGCACTAATCTGCTGCACTTCTTTGTTCCATCCCCAAACCCTACAGATGTCTAAAGACATGGTAAGCCCGTCTGATGTGGTGTGTGGTTTGTACAGTCTTCTCTCTTCACACAGTGTGGATAGTTCTCTCCCCTTTCGAATTCTGTCTAGCACACAACATACGTATTACATGTAGACTAGTACTGACTGATTGATTGATTGACTTCCCTTTGATATTTGATAGTCTAAACATAGTGTACATGTAGATATACTACTACTAGGACAAAAATAATGGTAAGCTTTAGACGACTGACTCTGACAAAGTCGTACCAACTTGATTTTAATGGATAACCTCTGTGTTGCGATATCTTCATTTTTCCCTACTGCATGAAATTCAGGGTCATCCATAGAGTCAAATTTGTGTGGCCTTTTAGGCTCTCTCTTCCCTCACTTGATTTTCATTGGTCAATTGTGTAGGGTAGTGTAGTCACATGCATCTGTGGCGCTATCAACTAACTGCTCATGAACAAAGCTTACCTTTTGTACATAGTAAAGTAACCTAAGGTGAATTTCAAAAACACATATTAACCTCTTGTGTGCCATGCTCCTGTACAATAATGAATTGTTAAGAATGAAGACCTCATCGCACATTTTTGCATCCAATGGAAGCTTTGTGCTATGTTGTATGTAGATCATAGAGCACAACGACAAGTTGCGGAAGGGCCATGAGGAGGACCTGGAACAGTCTATGCAGGTGGATCGGCAGGGCCAGTGGCTTCGGAGGCGACGGCTGGACGGCGCGCTGAACCGGGTTCCTGTAGACTTCTACACCAAGATCTGGAACGTGCTGAAATGGGTACTACACATGTCCTGTCCTGTCCTGTCAGAGCTTGAAATTCATTTTTGGGAATAGGTGCACTGGTGCACCCTACCTAAAAAATTGGGTGCACAAAAAATGTTTGGGTGCACCATGTAAGATAAAATATACTATAGAATGTCAGCAAAAACTAATTATGTTTCATTTCTAAATAAAAGTACTATAAGAATGACTTATTATTTTTTGACACTTAGATATTAAGAATATGCTGTATACTACTATTATATATTTTAACATCTTTACATGCGTAAACCTATTAAGATATTTGGGTGCACCCACAGAAAAAAATTGGGTGCACTAAGGTGCACATGCACCCAGTATTTCGAGCCCTGGTAGTAAAACTGAAATTTTGCAGTGTGGTTTTGTTATAAGTGCTGACAGTGAATTGTCGAGAAAGTATCATATTAATTATGACTTTATTTCCGACCACCAGTAGTACTTGTATGTGCTGCCCACTGTACAGTTGTCTTCACAACACCATGTTCTTTATCTTACAGTGTCAGGGATTGTCCATTGAAGGTCAAATTCTGTCGTCTTCTGTCATCAAAGAGGTAAGACAAACTTAAGGTATACATGTAACTTACAGAATTAATGTAATGCACTTTCTGGTACAGATGAAATCTAGCAATGTTCCAGATTGCCAATATAAAGCACCAAAAACAGTTAATCATTACTTTGAATAAACTGTACCCATACAAATGTATGTTTACTGATTATATATAATATAGCTACAGAAACCATGCATAAGAAGCATTCCAAAATCATATCCATATGCATATGCTTGAGTAACTGTTTTTTTGGCATATCTTATTACCTGGATGTCTAACCTTTACTGACGTACCAAACTTAAACTTTATGAGATATATATTAAGCAGCGTCAGTATGACACGTTACGACCCATTCCTGACTCCGTCCCTCTCCCCTTGCCCTCCAGATGACCCCCGGGGAGCTGAACTTTGCCCTGCGCGTGGAGGGGATCCTGAACAGCATTCCGCAGCCGGAGTACCGGCAGCTGATGGTGGAGGCCATGATGGTTCTGGCTCTGGTGGTGGACACGGACTACAAGAGGAGCCTGCGGGGCATCATCATGGTGGACAAACTTGTGTCAGACGCAAACGGCATGTTTGTCGCTGAACTGGTAGGGAGTTTCTTCTTGTTTTTTATATGCCCAATAATTTGGCTTTGATAACATCATTCTGCAGTGATGATTGATTTTAGCCTGTTGACAAAAAGATTGAAAGTAAAAAAAAAGATTGGATACCCGGTGTCAGATGCCAATGCCATGTTCATTTGCTGAACTGGTAGGAAGTTTCTTCTTGTCTTTTGTATGCCCAATAATTTGGGTTTGGTAACATCATTCTGCAGTGCTGATTGTATTTAGCCTGTTGACAAAAAGATTGAATTTCAAAGTAAAGATTGAAAGTAAAAGAAAAAAAATTGATGCTTGACTGGATATGCGGTGTCAGATGCCAATGCCATGTTCATTGCTGAACTGGTAGGAAGTTGCTTCTTGTCTTTTGTATACCCAATAAGTGGGGGTTTGATAACATTTTAATTATAGTATTGATTAGTTTTAGCCTCTTGACAAAAAGATAGAATGTAAAGAAAAATAGAAAACGAAAAAAAAGATTGATGCTTGATTGGATACTACAACTAAAAACAATCAGTTTCTGCTCTACATTGCTTATTAAATCATGCAAAAGTGACATATCTAATATAATAGTATAATGTTAGTGCTGTAAAGGAATACTACAATGTATATAAATTATACATTGTAATATAATTACAGTCATCATCTGATCATTCCTTGGCTTTGTTTGCTCTTCAGAAATCCATCTTCAAAGACGAAGTGGACTCAAACACTGTAGAGTTCAAAACGGGGGCTGCCAACATCTGCACAGATTTCTATGACAGTGCGCCCAGCGGTCGCTTCGGTACCATGGTCTACATGTCCAAGGCCGTGGCTCAAACACTGGACTGTGAACCTGACAGTGTAGCAGATTGTACCATAGCGTAGTGTCTACACATACATTGTAACGTTACATGTAGACAAGATTGACTTGTTGCACCATTGTGTATAGGATCTATTACATGTCCAACAACAACAACTTGCAGGACACTAAGTTAGTTAGTTAGTTAGTTAGTTAGCCTATCCTTTTTTTTGAAATGCCTTAGTGGGAATATGATGATGGTTGTGAGAGAAGGGGGAGGGGGCTGCAAATTTGAAGGGGGTTGATGAAGGAAGGACATTATAATATAATTGTATAATTGTCCTTGGTTGCACAAATATAGACAAAGTGAAAGGAATTCTGTCAATATGCTGAAGCCAGATATTGCAAAATGAAATCCCCCTTTAATTTCTTCATTAGACTTACTGTGTTGGATTTGTGGAAATTGTTTATCTATGTTTCATGCTTATCAATGCAGCAAGTATTATTTTATCATTGGAGAGTTGAAACTTGAAACTTGAAACTTGAGAGTTGAAGTCTATAAATACATTGTAAATAAAAGCTGTGATATGCCATAGTGTGCTCTATGTAAATTGTGTTAGTTTGTGCTTAGTGACGATTGAAATTCTCACTCACTACTGTAATATATAATAAAGTATATTGACATGTATGCTACTATATACAATGTATGTAAGTGTTTCTTCTCGATCTGTGCAACAAAATGCAAGTAAATGTACACAAGAATGCTGGTCTGCATATTTTTGTATAGTGAACTAAATGAGATCATCCTAACTACTTTAAGCAGTCTGACATGCATTTAAGGGCAATATACAGGAGTCAGTACATGTACATACATGTACAGACCATGCTGGTGTGAATATACTAATGTTTGTGACAAGTGTTAAAACAATGTTCAATGTATTGACATTTTAGTCTTCCGGACTGTAATGCCCTTAAAATATATGAATAATAACATCAGAAGGTGCCCACCAATAGAGCAAAGTCTACATGTATGTTATGAGTCGACACATGCTCCAACCACTACTAACAGAAATTGAGGCTATAGCTTTTCATCATGTCCCATGTGATCTGCCTGAGAAACAAAGTTGGTTCATGTCTGTTAGGATGTACACATAATTGCCACAACTGTCATCCTTATTGCCTTCAGATTCTAGTGTACGCTGTAGGAAAGCACATTATAATAACCACTTAGATGTATTACACACCTTACCTCTCAGTCTTACAGTGAGGTTAATGGTCTAAGATACACGTAAATGCTTATGAAGACAGTACATCTCTTCAAATTAAAGTTTGTGTTGTGCTGTGTCTTACCAAAACTGACCTCCGATTGATGTAATTACAAGAAGATAGTAGTTTTCTTTTGTTATAGGTTACAGGATGTACAAAGTTTGGTGAACTGTGCACACATCATTTTTGACAGCATCTCCAGAAAAAGATTTGTTTTGGCCTGCTGCTTATTTAAAAGTAAATATACCTCATTTGTACTAGACTAAGTATGTACATTTTTCAATAGTGTATCATGTGTCAACTACTTTGTACTGCCCACGTGTAGTTTTGCAAAAAGTTAAAGATTACTGTTTTAGCTCAAACATACCTCTTTTTTGTGTCAAAAGTATGTTTTTGAATTCTGTTGTTTGTTTTTGTATAGTATATTGTGTACAGATTTATTTGCTGCATGATGTGAGAAATGTGGAATTTTCACAGTATACTTGAATGTTTAAAATTATGGAGGGTATTTTTTAGAGTAGTCTGCTATGTTAGTTTGGCACCAAATTTTCTGTGGTTAAGATTAGGTACATGTAGCAAGGAGTTGGAAACATAAGTAGTACCAATGAAATGGCACGAAATCACATCTGTCACCAAGCTTCGAATCTAACACATGAAATACTCATCATACACAAATGTTCAGCCTTTGTCAGGAATACTGACCCTCTCACTTCTGACATGTGACATGCCGGAAACATGGTACCAGTTGAAGTGGAATGTGTAGTTTATGTCTGAACCTTCATTGAAATACACGTACTTGAAAGCTCACCTTGTTTCTTGTGATTACTGTTCGTGCAATACCCCTTACTCAAGTCCCCAAACCCAGGCACCAGTTGACACCCGGACGCTCTAACCATTCAGCTAAATGGTCTAAACCCGTCATCGGCACCCCCACCCCCACCCCGCACACATACTAGTTACACTGTTTTCCACTCAACCCTGGTTTCCCCTTGTTCTCTTGCTGAATTTTCACCTGAAATGTGAGAATAAAGGAAATAAACTGGTCCGTTCTCCAAGGACAAAGAGGCAGTATCACCTATAGTTCCCACAATACGTTAACCACAATTTTTACATTATTATGTAACCCATTAGTATCAGAAGTTAATCTCAAAGTAACTGTAGATCTTTCAGGTTCAAAGATTTCATTTCCAACAGGAAAGGCCTTCTTACCTAGTCTTAGCCGGCAGTTACATGGATTTGTTCGGAGAAAAATTAGAAGGGATATTAAGTAAAACATGAAAGCTGCGTTGGTGGGCGACATGATTAAGGATTAGACATTTAATCCAAGGTGCCAGAGGCTCCGTCCAAAGTTTCTCTTCATAATCACATAGCTGCAAATCAGTATTATTTTAAGCAAACAAGTTTGCAGAACAATCAGTTACAAATTGGCATGGACTTACGATGATGAAAAAGCCACAGTATTGCTTCTTGGCAACAATTACTTACCTTCAATTGCTAGACCTTGGAACGTAAACATCAGGGCGATATTGACTTTCATCTCCTCCAAACATACTAGTGCTGAAATCGCCTTAGCGCGGAAAGTAACACAAAGTTAATACGATTCTACTCACTTGAAAGAGCAGAAATTCTGTGGGCATATATATTAGATTGAAGACCAAACTGCGCAGTTGAAGGGCTTGCCTCGCCAGAGTTGTATCAGACCCTTTGAGCTGGCTTCTTTGTACAATCTCTCCACCGGTGTTTGTGTCTCAATACAGTTCTTCGGGACACCTGTATCTACACTTGTAGGTAAGTCTTTGTTTTCTATATCTGTCAGACTCTTGATTATGTTGTGATAATAATTGTGTACTATACTGTGGTTAAGTAAAGGTCAATTTGTTACTGACAATACGTCACTGGGATTTCACTTGAAAGACACTTTTACCATTTAAGCCCTTATCTGTTACGAGTACATACATGTATATACACCGTACATGTATATAATTATGAGAAACAGGTACACATTCAACTCAAATAGATTGTAATTGCTGAATGGACTACAATGGAAAACATGCACACCAGTAGATTTGTAGTTACCAACTACCCAAGCAAAAGACATGCAGATACTAGTGAACTGTTGCACATCTTGACAATGCTGTTTCAGCGGATTTTGCTCATGAATGATTTGTTTAATCCCAAACATTGTAGGTATACACACCTAAGCTTGGGAGATCAAGTTGGGAAAGTGGTCCTACGCACAATCTGTCTTCTCCTGGGCACTCAACTGCAACTGCCAAGAACAAAAAAAAAGGTATGCATGACTGCTTTAAAATTCATACCTATAAGAATGAATGGTTTATATGTTTGGTGGGACATAAGTTATGAGCTGTTTTTTTTTTAGTATTACATGTACATACATGGGAAATACCCCTGTGTATACATACAGGTTGACATGCCAATTAAATAATAGAACTCAATTTTTTTTTTTTCGCTCAGCTTTCATCAGCTACTTAATGCACCATTTCTGGGATAAGATTTGAACAATAGGAAATGACTGCCACTGAACCACCAGAGTCAACAATAACAACTACCTACCTAATATACATGCAGATATAAGTGAACTGTTGCAGATTTTTAGCCTGGGTACCATCCTATTTGTATCCTAAGGGGGGAGTATGGTAAACCAACAACAAAAACAGCAAGGTCTTTGCAAAAGCCACCGATTCATACTGATATCTTATTGGCTGCCTATAAGATATCAGTATGATATAAATATGCGCTCGTAGACAAATTACTTCCAGTTGATTAATTCCCTGTCTTACAGGGACAATGGGCAGCAGGCTACTAGTAGAGGGACTGCTACTGGTTCTTCTACTCATCATCTTGAGGGAAACTGGATCAACCGCAGACTGCCGGAGTAGCTGTCGTCTATCAGCCTGCAGATGCAATGACAGAGGCCTCAGAACTGTTCCCCAGGATCTGCCAACAAGTATCAGTCGCCTTTACTTAAGACAAAATATGATCACGACCTTGAGTCCACATGCTTTCTTACGATACAGGAGTTTATTTATAATATATCTGTCCTCCAATAGAATAACCTGCATTTATCCTCATACATTCTCAAATTTAACACAGCTTCGAACGTTGAAACTGGACAAGAACAAAATAACTAACATTGATCCAGGTGTTTTCTCAAATCTACCACAACTCCATCGGTTGGACATGTCCTCCAACCAAATAAAAACCCTCCATCCTGCTACATTCTCGAATCTACCACAGCTTGCATATTTGTGGCTGGAAAACAACCAAATAACTCATATTCAGGCCGGTACATTCGCAAATATGCCACAGTTAAGATTTTTAAGACTGAACAACAACCAGATGGTGACTCTGCCCTCAACAGCCTACGATGAGCTGTCGGCAATCTATGATGTACGCATCAGGGACAACCCTTGGCAGTGTGACTGTAGGATGCGTCCCTTTAGACTTAAGATGACAGGGTCTGGTTCATTTGAAAATCAGATGATATGTTCTCAACCAGACAACCTCCAATGGCAAAAGCTGAAAGATATCGAACCTGAAGATCTGAAGTGTAAAGAGCCAACCATTGTAAGCTTTCAGAGGGGTCACGAGAACACACTGGTTCAGGAACTAACTCTTCGCTTGGTCTGTCAAGTTTCGGGGACCCCTTCACTGGACGTCACAGTCACCCTCCCATCTGGACTGAATGTAACCGCTGAGTCGGGTGGGAGAGTGACTGTGCATGTGAATGGTACCACCAGTACAATCACCATCACTAACGCTACTTCAGCAGACTCCGGCCTGTACATCTGCACTGCAGCAAATGACGTCGGCTCCACATTTGCCACTCTCTTTGTTGATGTCCAGTCAAATATGGCCACGGCTAACACAAAGGCTCCACCTCTTGCTGGTAACACCGGTACTTCAACCCATCCCACAAACAGCAGCTACCTTGCGCCTTTTCCAACGTTCTCCCTACCTGTACCTGTTGGCTCTACACCTTCAGAAGACTCTAACCCCGTCCAGTTGCATACGCCCACGGCTAACACAAAGACTCCACCTCTTTCTGGTACCACCAGTACTTTACCCCATCCCACGAACAGCAGCTACCTTGCATCTTTTCCCACGTTCTCATTACCTGTTGGCTCCACACCTTCAGAAGACTCTAATCCCAGTCTCATTGCCACCATCGCTGGTGCAGTAGTTGGCACTGTTCTCATTATTGGTATCATCCTTCTCACAGTTTGTTGTTGG